TAAAAAGTAGTTTCACTAAAACAGAAAAGCTTGGTTTTGCACTCCAATTGCTGTTAGGGGTTTTCTATTTTTTATTTAAAAAGTTTAGGCCCCTCATTTACTTTTGCGAATCTGCAGTCACATGATAATCTGTTTCTGTTGAGCTGACTGGGCATTAACTGTAGAAGACCCTTTGATAGACAATTTTCACAGCCACTGGCCAATTTCCATATAACCAGGATGCAATGTGGATACCTCAGGGGGCTCACACAGTGCGTTTGAACATTTGGATGCCTGAGGAAACCGCCTGCCAGTAGTAAAATTGTTGGCCGGTTGGCAAGTGATTTAAAAAAAAAAAAAAAGAAAAAGGTAAATAAACAAAATATGTTTGTGGACAGGAGGGAAGTTTTTTTGTTTTGAGGGTGAAGATCCACTTTAAGCTAATATAATTGTATGTTAATGTCTTGAAAACATTGGGCCAAATGCATTTGCTCATCATATGTTACCTCTGTTTTCTCTTTAGTAGTGTTGGATACGTACTGTGCTTGGTCAGATCCAACCTTTCAGAATCTGATATCCCTCCCTATGGCTAGTTTCATCATTTGTGCTTTCTTACTAGTGCACACTAGTGCAATCATGATCCTTTTATCTCCCCAGGTTTCCCATGCAGGGTTTGTCTGGTTTAAAATCGATTCTCTGCCAACTCTGATTTTAAATGGTCCTATAACCTCTCACAGCCAGAGATCAACTGATCTAGGCTGCCTAGGCTTTAGCCCATTGTAGGAAGCTCATGAACAGATTTTTTTTTTTTATGGCAAGCTAGTATTTTAATTTTAAGCCCTGGTTCACACTGATGTGCGGAATTCGCAGCGTTTTCAGTGCGAATTCTGCACCGCATCAGACTCTCACACTATTCCTGCGAACCGCTGCGGGTGTGTATGAGAAAGCGGTCTGCAAAATGCAGTTCGATGTGCAGAATCGGATTGCATAGGTGTGAATACCCATGTGATCCAATTCTAGTGCGGACCAAAAAAAGTACTGCACGTTTTTGGTGCGGGTGCAGTGCGAATAGAGCCATACAAAATATATGGCTCCAATCGCACCACATACAAATCGCATGTGATTTGTAGAGGAATGCGGTGCAGTTCCTGTGCGAAACACATGGGATTCACCGCACTGAACTCGGGCTTAATGTTTATATTTGTCTGCTGGTTTTAGAAGTATCTAAATTTTAATAATTGCATGTTAAGCCTTCTGGCATTATTGGGTATTTTGACAGACTGTATTTGGGCTGTACAAATACAGTAGCTACAGCAGGAGATTCATCCGTCTGTGCAATGACATGGATGGAGGAATCTTACATTTTGTTCAGCCCACAGGCTAAATGAAAGATTTTTGTGTGGCCAACTTTAAAAAAAAAAAAAAAAAAAAAAAGTTTTAGCTGGATGTACACTTCAACATACAAATCACAAGCCTTTGTAATTCCACTTTTAAACAAGTAGATGAAAGGATGTGTCTACAAGAAAATTGCATTGGTTGATTTTTACCTGCCTGCCTAGCCACGTATGGTTTGGTATATGTACAGTGTTTGTAAACTTTACAATTTTATTTATCCTAATTTTCTGTGATAATTAAACATTTTAAACATGGATGTGTGCATACTTATTCCCTTTAAGCATGTTTAATTTTTGACCTTTCATCAGAACTTTTAGCAATTTGAGCTTTTGAGACAAATCGAGTCAAAAAATGTGAGCAAATGCTTTTTTTTTCTTTATATACACCACAATAGCAGTCACTAGGTTTATGTATGTTTTAACAGACTTAACTAAAACCAGCTGTGGAGTAAAAATGGATACAGTTAACAGTTTTAACTTGATGCTCCTGTTCCCTTTTTCTTATTTGGAGTTATGTCAAGCAAGCAAATGTAATACGTGGCAGCCTGATTCTTTCCAGGTTCTGCAAGAATTGAGCAGACTGTAAAATGTGGAATAGATCAAAATGTTCCACAGACAAAGCTTTATTACATTTCCCTGTGAAAGCAGTATGGGTAATATAATATTGCTGACTGGTGTCTGCCACATCACTTCCTCTGCAAACAGGGTTTAGAAATTCACATTTTTTTTGTTCATTCCCTGGTGCTACAATTTATTAGAATAAACTGAACACACCTGACATTTTTCCTAATTTTTTAAACCTCTTTGTTTGCAATTATATTTTGTAGAAAAAGGTCTGTAGGAAAGACATGGAATGGAACAGTCATTTAGGTATAGTTTTCACCATCAAACTGAGGGTTTAAAAATATGAATGCAGCAGCTGTGTAGTTGTTACCCTTTAACAAACAATATATTTTGTGATGCTTCCATCAAGCAGCATTTTGATCATTGTTGCCCTTTTGCTGTCTGAAAATAACATTTTGTGATTAATTGATGAACTGGCTTACTACTGGTTCCTTTAGCTTCTGCTTTGTGTCATGTTGAATAATTAACACTGTATAACTTTTGAAATGTAAACCGCTACATCATCTATGGGGGTATAAGTGTTACAGCTTCAAGGGTAGCTTTCACATCTTGACAGTGTAGGGTTAAAGTAAAGCTCTATCCATTTCTTCTCTTACTTTGGTTTGGATTAATTCCCAAACTGCACTGATTTGACTATAAAAGGTTATTACATTCAGCTGTGCTGCGTATTCATATTTGTTATGCAAGAAAGAGTTGCATTTATAGTAGAGCAGCACCATTTGTTTAGAACTATTGAATTTGTCATTGTATTTTCAAAAGATATCGCAATAATGTGAAAATGTAAATATATTCTTGTACATAAAGCCCACAGGCTTGGTAAATAAAATAATATAGAAGTCTTCCTCTACTTATATGCCTTCAGAGAACTAAAAGCATTTTTATTTTTTTTTTTAATATGCTAGAGTCTCTGATATACATGCACAACAAAATGTCATAAATCTTCATTCTTAATGTTAAGTTGGGAAAAGCAGTGCATAGAGACGTATAGCAGCTGTATGTTTTTAATATTTCAGACTGAACGATCTCATGTTGATAAATGTATTGGTCTCAAATCCTGCTCTTTTAAAACACATGGTTTCTTCTGTCATTGTTTGAAAACAATGACCTTGTATTACAGTAGAAATCAAGAGTCTTAAAAATTTAGGATTTGTTTTCATTTTTTGCAATATCTTTTGAAAGAAAAATGTCTCTTTTTTTTTTTTTTTTATTTTTTTTTTTTTTTTTTTTTTTTTTTTTTTGATCTTATGTGTCTTTTTGATAACATTTTGTATTCTGAACAGTCCATAGGAAGCGGAAATCCTTCTCCGTTATAAATTAACATTTACAGTTTCATGGTAAATTTTTACTTTATCAGACAGGGAATATTCATACTTCATATTCTGTTTCTTTTATTTACTTGCCCATTTTATTTCTTTATACATGTTTTTTTTTTTTTTTGTTTGTTTGCAGCAAAATAACTTGGCCACAGTTGTTAGCTTGATACAAGCATAATTGGTTTAACAATGGGAGCTGGTATTTCTGTTTTGAACTTTAAAATTTGTATAATTAACACTACAATATGAATTCACTGCCTTTAGATCAGTGAAATAGTTTTAGATGCCTGTACATCGCAAGCCCTAATTTCATAGCTTCTGTCCCTATTTGTTTGGTTTTTTTTTAAAGATTTTTTTTTTTTTTTGGTAATGATATATTCAGTTCATATTCCTATTAATATGGAACACTGCCAGAAATGTAAAAATAGGGATGTTTGCAGGGGCACATTTTAAAAATTAGAACATGCCTTGAGAAACGTACTGTTGGCAACAAAGACAAAGGGCCTGAAGCCAGTGCTCTTTCTTGCTTGTATACTTCTTGCGCTGCTCACACGGACAGATGGAATGCTCCCTCTCCAACCTGTTGTGTAACAGGGTTTAAAAAGTTTAATTTGATTTCATCTAAGATACTCACAAGCAAGACAGCCTATAGCAAAACCAAAGTTACATTCTCAACACAGGGTTAATAATCCTTAAAGCAGAACTCCATTCCTTTTAAATACTTTTTAGTTTAGTTGTGAATTTCTTAAATTTTGAGGGACTAAATTCTAAAGGCTAATTTCAGGATGCCTCCTACCTTGGCAGGCATACATCGGTAAAAGTTTGATTGGCGGAAAGAGGATATTTTAATGAATATTAAGGTTTTTGGGTTTGCAAACCTTCACACTATAAGGATTCAATTTAAAGCAGAACTAAACCCACCGATTTAACGGGTTAAAATATTTACATTCCCGGCATGCCAGGAATGCTAACTGTCACCTTTTGCTTGTGCTCGCATTCAATCTGTCAAACCATTAAATGGCTGGTGTCATAACTGATCACATGTGCACCACCATGGAAGTTGCAGATCAGAGGCTGAAATGGAAGCTTGTTTGGCTGAAAAGGAGAGGAGGGTTTAGTTCCACTTTAAAGTCTAAATTTGACAAAACTTTAAAGACTATCTGAATTTTTGACTATAAATTCAAGTGAGGCCAGTTTAGTGTTGTACTGCATCATGAAATACCTGAACCCATTCAACATCCAGTTATGACTTGGAAATATTGAAGCAGGGATAAATATTTACTCTGACTTTACATTCAGCATTGTGGCATTAACAATATTGGCTTAAACAGTAAAATTGGTTAGGCTTAGTTTTTCTTGTTTTTTTTTTTTGTTTTTGTTTTTTTTCCTCAAGGTATAATTGGTGTCACTACCCCTCACATTGCATGTGTCTGAGCAGCATCAATATGACAGATTAGTGCTCTGTGTTTTCTGACCTTTCACTGTTGCCAAATTAAAAAAGAATTTAAAAAATCTGAAGTTTTTTGTGTAATTTTTTTCTCCCCCTCCCATCCCCCCAAAGTCTCAAATCTGGCTCTCTGGCGGCTGATGTTCTCTTGTGCTCCCCTTTTCACCTTTCCTGGCCCTTCTCTTAGTTCTTCCCCCTTCCCTTCTCTAATGATTTGCATGTATGTCTCCCCTTTGCACGCAGGGTTTTGGTTTTGTAACTTTTGAAACTAGCGCGGATGCTGACCGGGCCCGGGAGAAATTGCACAGCACGGTGATTGAGGGGCGAAAAATCGAGGTGCATGTCTTTACCTGAAACTGGAAGATTGCAAAATGCCAGCAGCTGCACCCCGCTCTTTCCTCTTTCACTTTTCTATATCTCTATCCTTATTTTTTTTTTCTCTTTAAATGGCTCTTTTTTTCATCACTGCCTTCTAAAAAAAATGCTTGCTTACAATTCTGCTTCACTGTATTTTTTTTAATCTGTATTTTTAGCTTTTGTATTATACCCTTATTTTTTTCTTTATGTGTATGCTTTGTTTCTTCTCCTTTAATATGTGTGTTCTCATTTCCTCTTGATATTTTGGGTAATAATTGCATTACCTACATCTCTCACATTTTACACAACATTTTACCACACATAGTCACATCAACAGTTTCTTCATTGCAATATCTCATAATGTTCATTTAAAGTAATTGCTCACTATATACCCATCACTGGTTTGCCTTATCTGCTCTGAATTACCCAGTGATTATGGATAAATCCTGCACATATAATTGTCATAAGACATCTGACATCAAACACAAAGGCTGTTTTGCGGGCATGCATGTGTGTTGTAAACCTATTTGCTTGAGAGCAGGAGGTTTTTTTTTTTTTTTTTTTTTTTTTTTTTTTATATAAAAAAAAATTCCCTTTTTTCAAGGTATAAACCTCAAAAAAAATTTCAGTGTAGGATTTATAATTCAGTAAAATGAGCCAATTGCCCAAAAGTCTAAATATTGTACTAACAAGTGTTTGTGTGTGGTGTTGGGGGGGAGGCAGATTTTATTGAATATAAATATACAGAGTGCATGTGCTTGATAGATAGCAGAGATGGTCAAGTTACGTGGTTTGCTCCCCCCCCCCCCCCCCCCTTCCCGCTGACAGTATATTGATGACAAATGGAACAAATGAGGAGTTTTTGAAAATGTAATGCATGGTCATATTGGTTACATTTAGACTGCAAAAAACATAAAATCTGGCATGTGCATACAGTGTCAGTGTGCACTATTAGCAAAGTCAAAGCCTCCTGTTTCCTATAGAATAAATATTAAAATTTTATTTGAAACCTCTGGCTGTTGACTTCTCCCAGTATTAGCAGCCGTTAACATGTATTTTTTTCTTTTAAAAAGGGTAAACTTTAAAAGCACCGCCCCCTTTTTCTCCCTCAGGTTTTTTTTTTTTTTTTTGGGGGAGAGAAAATGAGGACAATCCAGAATGGTATAGTTGCCACTAGAAATGAAGAAATATCTTCCAATAGGGACACTTGTTCAGATGCCTAAAAATAAACAATAGTCTGACATGTTCTATACCTTCCACCATCCATCCTCTCCAAATACAATTGGTATTGTGCTTTAATATGAACATTTGTTAAAAGTTCTGCATTATTTTAGTTAGACATTCAGCAGAGTTTCTATTCTGGTAGGGCTCCCAAAACTGTCCAAAAAATTTTCTATAGCAGTTGTCTCCAAACTTTCTAAATAAAGGGCCAGTTTATTGTATTACAAACTTTAGGGTGGCCAGCAATAGTGGAAACATTCTCTGCATCAGTGGTAATAAACATCACCACGTTTGGCATTAGGGGGAGGAATAGTGCCCCATTATGCCCCCTTATTGGTATCAGTTGGCAGAATAGTGTTATATAAATGGGGTGGAATAGTGCCCCAAGGGCTAGATAAAAGCAGGCAAAGGGCTACATCCAGCCCTGCAGTTTGGAGACCACTGGTCGATAGGTTTGTAATGTTCTGTTTTGCTGGCACCAGCAGTGCCATTACATAAGTCTCTAAAGCATAATTTAATTGACTCATTACCACTATCCTAACCTTTAGTATACTTTCTATTTCTGTGAGGAGACTAGTCTCCACCTTTTCACTAATATTAGTCCTTCAATATACTCCAGTGGAGTATTATGCATATCTGCATCTAGCAGAGGCTCTTAGGGATTACATTAAGGCAGCTTAAACAGAATATATGGCTTATGGCAGCGAATGCATTGTTCAAACGAGCTATTTTGCTTACTGCTTGTCTACATTTACAGATCAGACAGGCTGAATGTAAACAAAGCCATGTGGACATTGGCTTCGCCCAATGATAATTTTCAAAGGAGAAAAAAAAGGCAGGAGTTGTAGGCTGTTTTTTTCAAGGTTTAAATACAATAGGCACGTTTGTAAGGTGGTCAGCAATGACAGTGCCCATATTTTGTAATAGCTGGTGTACCTTTTTAAAGCGGAACTACACAGTATATGACCACCACAAAAGTGCTATTTAATTTTATTAATATTCAAAGCAAACTTGCCAATCCATCAATGTCTCTATGCTTCAGTTTGCTGAGAAATCATTTTCATAAACACCCCCTAGCATTTCTGTCCATGGCCATCTTGAGTAAAGGCAGATGATTCATGTAGCATTTACTTTCTGGAATCCATTTGCTCTTGGCTCAGGCTTAGCTGAGAAAACCACTCCTCACCTCCTGAAGACTCCTGGGATGGATAACATAATTTTGCCTAGGCATGGAAACTAGGAAGTAACTAAAATGTAGAAAAAAGTTTAAAACCAGTAAATATATTATACTTTCCTATCTATTTACTAATACTAGCATCATAATGATTCAAAATGGTCAATGTTGAGAGTCAAGTTCCACTTTAAGTAGTCAAATTGTCTTCCCTGCTTTTGGTATTCAAAAAAAAAAAAAAAGTCTGGTAAACTGTGGCACTTTACGAAGAAATAATAGTGAAACAAGTTGATTGGTGCCCAAACCTATGCACATGAACCATTTTGTGTTCTATTTTTTCCCAGTCCATTGATTTCAGAGGAAACTTATAAGGGATTGTGATATCTTCTCTTCAGTTAGAAAACCACCAAACTTGTGAACATTTGTACGCAACTATAATGTGTGTGTGTGTGTGTGTGTGTGTATACAGATATCCATATGAAGAATATCTCCTTTGAGACATCCCATGAATACAAGAGGGTTATAACAGAGAGAATGCCGCACTATTTTTGTGCTTTTTTTTGTAGAACATCTGCTTTTGGTGTGCAGCATTTGCATGCACCACTGCCATTTTTGCCAGTCTTTTATATCTTCAGACATACACATTTATTTCAGCGAATTTAATGTTTATGAAGCTTATCCTAAACATTTCCTTGCTAACCATTTCCTAGTCTTTTCTTTGTTTTCTTAGTTTTTTTTTTTTTTTTTTTTTTTTTTTTTTTTTTTTTACAGTTTTTAAAATCACTGCTTTGATACCACTGTTGCATGGTTCACTTGCCTGTTCCCATTGTTTGTGTATCTTCATGCAAATTGCTGTGTACCATTATTAACCAAACCCAGTTTCACTGCTTATTTTTGCTTATTTCAGAGGTTTTTATTGTGTGCTTGGTAACAATTTCATGCTTTCTGTTCACATTATCTTTGTGCTTTCTAAAATTGTGTGGGTTTTTTTTTTTTTTTTTTAACCATTTTCATTTTGCATTTTTTTCCCCTCCAATACAAATTTCACTCAAAGGTGTTCGCTGCTTTAGTTTCCATTTTCACTCCTTGAGTCACCCTGCCTTTATTCACACGCTTAGATTTTCATCTGCTCACATCTCTTCTATGGGCTTATTTATAAAGGCTAAAAAATGCTGGTTTCTTGCTTAACTTGTGTGTGCGCGCCAATCCAGCATATTATGCATACAGATTGATATATACTTCATGTATGCCTTTAGTATAAGGTGTACAAGAGTGGCATGTAAATAAGGGGAATAAATCTATATCCCCAATCATTGGCCTGAGAAAGTTATAGGGTTCATTTTGTAAAGCCGTGAATGTGACTTTCACCAACATTCTTGGTCGGAAAATGGGTCAGAATTTAAAATACATAGATCTGGGAGAAGATTCCACGTTTGTGGAATGTCAGATTCACTACTTTATAAACGAGCCTAGTTTACTGAGGTCTGATTGTAGTGTTTATGCACAAGTTAATCCAAAATGTTATATTGCTCATCCCTGTTCGTTTTTAGCGACAAGCGACATATTGAAAACATGCAAAAATAACATCTCTCACCAAAGTGTCCCTAACACTGAACTCATCCCCTGCCTGAACTCCTAATCAATTTACATCGTAAAATAATCACCTAATGTAATCCTTCAACACTTTATCCTTAACCTTTGCCTTAGCACGTAACACTTTTACTTGACCTTAAAATGTAATCATATCCCTAACCCGATCACTTAACTCAGCCACTAAAGTGAGCCCCTAACCATTCTCCTTGCCACCAACCACTTAACCCTTTAAAGATATCTATAGCCAATAACAGACATCCGATATATTGCAGCTTCCCTGTCTTTACACGTTGTGGTTGTATTGGTTTTAACTTTTCAGGCTTATGCTGTATTCAGCAAGTACAGAAAATACCTCTTGACCTTGCCAGAAATGCAGTGTCATTTTAACCTGTTGTGAATGGATTTGATATATCAAACTTATCCATCTTTCAGTCAACTAAAAATGTCCCCACTCACCCATGTAATAGACCGAAAAGAGCAGCAGGTTTGTAGTTCTGTTCTGCAGCGATGACCATTTCTCCCACCCATAGATACAGTGGAGAGAGTGTGGTGTTTACAGGATTACTAGGAAAGCCTGAAAAAGGTAGACTAAGCCACACATTTTAGGGCTGGTAATCTGCAGTATATTTTTTTAATTTGGATTTATAGGCTTTAAATGCCAATTTACACTTAAACCTTAACCTAGAATCTTAAGCTGACTATACACTGTAAGTTGGCTGAATGGAGGGAAAAAAATAAGATTTCTCCATGCACACAAATGAGGTGGATTGAGGAATATACTGATCAGTGGCTACCGCTGCTGATTGACACAAACATTTCTATGTCTCTGCAACAGAAGCCTATTAATCCACTTCTGTTGAGTGGGAAAGGCCACACTCTAATTGAAATTTTGACCAATCCCAGCTGGACAAGCCATATTTCAATCAGTATATTTCCAGCTTTACTTTTATCTGTGCAATTAACCCTCCCAGCCACTTAACTGCCTAAAAACACTTTTTCCCTAATACGTGCCTTATCCGGCACTGTTAGCAGCACCAAGGTATTATATGCTGGCTCTCTACCTTGCCAAAAATGCTGTTGAGAGTCAATGTCTCAATCTTAATGTGGAGTGCAACATCCACATAGCTGTATTGAACAGCTTGCTTCACAATAACCGATTCACGATCAGTATAGCAACTGGAAAGTAGGCAAATTTCTACATACACCATTTCTAAATAGGCCTTATTGTCTGTCTGCCATTTTTGTCATCTGTGTGCTACTTTTCTGCAGAAATCATTCCTGTCTACTCAACCGGCTTTGTTCCCCCATAAGCTAATGTTTTGCTATATAACATGCTTTCCTAAAAGCTTCTGGTTTCAGAGAGATCTGTATACAAAACATAAACTTGCAGTGTCTCTGACTCCAGGAGCTACTACTCATAATTCCGTTTTCTTCATTGCTCTGTCTGTTTTCCTCCCCAAATTTTTACAGTATATTGCTTTTATATTTTGTTTAATGTGCATTTTTGTGATTTGCATGCTACTACCTGTCAGTGATAAGTTATCGTTTCTGCTTTATTTGGAGACCTCTCCTCCTTTTGTGGGGTTCCGGGGTGGGTGAGTGTGGATGTTAGAGGACTCAGTGAGTGTGTGTGAATGAACTTTGTATTTGATTCTCATTCACTTTATTCCTCTTTTATAATGTATTTTTTTCAACACACACACATTAGCTTTATCGATATGTTGTAATGATCTCTAATCAACAACTTAATATGCAGACAGTACACAGTAACCATATTCACCTCCTGTTTGCCTTCGATTTAAACAAATCCTTAGATTCTGTAGGTTAACATACCATATTACATCATTTTTTTTCCACTATGTTAGAGAAAAGCCTTGTAGTCTAAATATATAGTCGTATGGACAATTTTATGAATTTCCCACACGTCATCCTTAATGGTTGGCAAAAGAGGAGATAAGTAATGCTTTCAGAAGTCTTTAAGAACAGGCCATTGATAATTTTGGAAGTTTTTTGGCTAGCAGATGCAATTAATTGGCCCTGTGTATGTGGCAACTGTGGATGTTTAGGCTAGGGACAGATAAGCAATTACATTTCTCACAAGCAAAAAAAATTAAAGTGGAAGAAAAGGCTACCCAGTAACTTGCCTGTTAAGAGGCTGCTTCCCCTTGATCTTCACTGTCTACATTTTGTAATATCAGAATAGTTTGTGTTTTTTAACCTTTTTTCTATGCTGTTCTGGTACTTCACCGTACCCTGGAGGGTCAGACAATAGCCTAAAATCCCTTGAAGTCCTTGCATCATTCCGCCAGTGAACATAGCTCCCGGGGATGGTGAGACATTGTCAGCCATGAAAAGAGTTCCAACCATCAGCTGCAGAGAGGAAGAATAAGTTGGAGCTTTGCAGTCATGTGATCACACAGAAAAAGTGAAAAAAAGTAATTGGCAGTTTATTGCAAAATGTTGGTAGAAGGGGAGCATCTTTAAATAGCTAAGTTATTGCTTATCCTTTTATTCCACTTTAACTACTAGTTGGCCATAACCTCATTTGTATGAAATCCCTATGCTACTAATGAGATTTGTGGCAGTAGGTAGTTAAATCTTACTAGCAAAGAAATGTAATTGCTTGTGTAGCCTTAGCCTCACAGATTACTTTAGTTCCCACCCTAAAATTGTATCTTCTGTCCTATGTTTGTAGATGCTTAAATACTAACTGCATCCTTATTGGACTGACTGCTATTTAAATGTAGCTTCCATTTAATTAGTTTGCATGCTAGAACAAAGTATTCTGTTAAATTGCTTAGAGGTTTATTTCATACTAATATATCCTTCATGTCTCCTCTGTTCATTTTGGCACACATCATAAATTCTGGTCTCTTCTGTTCATGTTGGCATACACATTTAAAGTGCAAGTTCACCTAAGAAAAGAGAATTGTTTCAGATGTGTCTATAGTTTCATTAATTGCAAAAAGTAAACTTATGCCTAAGCATGCTTGCCAAAGCAGCATGTTTTAACTTGAATTGTTTAGTGTATGTGTTGAATAAAGTAGGCAAGGGTTTAAGACAGTTCTAGACAGTTTTTGCCAGAACAGATGGTGGTGTTGGAAAATTTCCTCTCATCCCTTGTTCCAGTTACAGCTCTACGTTTTTGTGTTTTCTACCACTTTATCTTGGTGACAATGGTCACTGGGACAAACTGAGGGTAAATATACCCAACTGAGACAGAAGGCAATAAAAACATGTCCAGTTCTAATCTGTCCTGACTGTTTAAAACTGGCTATACATACTGCCCCTGTAACATTTTTATTTATTTTCCTTTTGTTTCTGTGTTGTTCTGTTTGCCGATATTAGCAAGGAGAAGTAGTCCTGGAGCTTGCAAAGGGCTGGGTAACTTCTCTGCCTCCAATTACAACCTTAGTGCCTAAGCGGCTACTATCCCCTAGCTGACGGGTATTGTTCATTTCTGACTGGTCAGCAGGGGAGTGAAAGAAAAGTGAGTGTACGGAGGAGGAGAACCAGGCATTAAAGCTAACCCTTTGCATTTTTCTGCATTGACAGAATGAAAATTGCAGAAGCTTTTAGTAGTACATGAATTTAAAAAACTTTATATATGAAAATCAAGTTATGGCTGTACAGTAACATAAAATTCTGAAATCTGGTCACATCATCTGGCTGTCCTGCTTTCTGTTTAAAAATATGCATCCTAGGGGATTGGACTGCTGCTAAAACACTTAACTATTGATTCTGCAAAACACTGTTGGCAAAATGCAGAGATGTCCATGGATCAATCAAGCTGTATGGGTAAAATGTCACCTGATTTAATGCTGCCACTACAAGTGGCAGAATAACTGCCTTTTTATTGCAGTTCTACCCTTATGGCCTATGGGAATGCTTACCTATGTCGGGACTGAGATATGTCATGAATACTGACCCTAAAGCAGTGTGAAATTCAGTGACCTTTTTCACCAAGGCAATGCCCCACCCTCCACTTTCAGGAAAGCAAAATCAGCCTTTTTGTGTATTTTAAATTGTTGAGGTTCTCTTCAAGCTTACCTCTTTATAATGTAAAAAGAAGATAAATGGCGGCACAGCACAAGACCTGAGTAGGAGAGTAGTGCAAGAGAAGAGGATAGCTCTGAATCTGCTGGGCTTGGCATAACAAAGCACCAAATCTTTAACCGGGTGTAAAGATTGTTACAGAAACAAAAAAGCTGTGTGATGAGAGAATGCATTTTAATCAGCAAAATCTAAAATTGTGTAAAGCTGGCAATACACAGATTCCACCATCCGCGCTATGCACTGCAGATGGCTGAATCTCCCACTGTGCCTATCGTATTCTAACAGCTGCCTAGGGATGTCAGGTAAGATGAGGCACAAGAACAACGATATAGCGAATTCCAGCCAGTTCATGAAGAAGCTGATGAAATTTGTATGTATGATCAGCTTAACTCTCAAAGCTCTGCAGCAAAGCTAATACTGAAGCGGTAAAATAATTTTAAAGTATCTAAGGACATCTAGCAAATTTATTCTAATAAGGTGAACTTGCTCTTTAAGTCTTTTCTTGTCTTTCTACTGTCTGTGCTGCTTTTGTATGAGAGAATGCTGCATGTGTGAAGAAAGTTGCATTGCCTCTGCAATGCCATTGTTAATCTGTTTATATAGATTCACAATGACTTTGTAGGGGGTCAGTGAATTTCTGCATGCAAAGTATAATTCTTGTCATTTTTCTAATGGTGATTTTTTTCCTTTTCAACATTGGGAACCCTTGTTAGGTCAACAATGCAACAGCTCGTGTGATGACCAATAAGAAATCTGTGACACCTTATGGAAATGGTAAGTTTTTACAAATAGAAAAAAATTCACATGTGCAACTTTAATTCTATGACAGAAAACAAAATCATTGGGCTGGACATCCACAGAATACAGCATCTCCTTTTTTCAAGATTATATTAATTTCTTGTTTTTTAGTTTAACTGACTTTTTTGTGATAGGAAAAAAAAAAGTTCATTTTGTGCAAGTCTGTTTTGTAAGCAAAATGTATGTTTGACAAGAGGAGGTTGTTCTTTACCTTTTGGAGGAATGTAATGTTTTACATGCCTTCTAAAGAGGTACACTGTCTGCACAATTTTTAGGCAAGTGAGTATTTTGACCAAATCTTTATTTTTTTTTTTTTTTTTTTTTCATATTGTCCACCTCCAAGCTGTATTAATTTGAATGCATATTGCATTTAAGCATATCAGGTGATGTGTATTTTGTAATGAGAGAGGGTATGGCCTAAGGAGATCAACACCGTATATCAAGGTGTGCACAATTATTAGGCAGCTTCTTTTTCTCAGACAAAATGGGCCAAAAAAGATTGAACTCTCTGAAAAGTCAAAAATTGTAAGTCTTTTCAGAGGGATGCAACACTCTTGAAATTGCTGATATATTGGGTCGTGATCACAAAACCATCAAACATTTTGTTGCAAATAGTCAACAGGGTTGCAAGAAATGTGCTGAGAAAAAGATGCAACTGCCAAAGATTTGCGAAGAATCAAACGTGAAGCTACGAGGAACCCATTATCCTTAAGTGCTGTCATATTCTAGAACTACAACCTACCTGTAGTGCCCAGAAGTACAAGGTGATCAGTCCTCAGAGACATGGCCAAGGTAAGGAAGGCTGAAACCCAACCACCACTGAACAAGACACTTAAGTTGAAACGTCAAGACTGGGCCAAGAAATATCTGAAGACAGGTTTTTCAAAGGTATTATGGACTGATGAGAGGAGTGACTTGACGAACCAGATGGATGGGCACGTGACTGCCTCAGTGACGAGCACTGAGCTCCACTTCGACTCAGACGCCAGCAAGGTGGAGGTGCGGTACTGGTATTATTAAAGATGAGCTAGTTGGACCTTTGCAAGTTGAAGATGGACTCAAAATAAACTCCCAAACCTACTGCCAGTTTTTAGAAGATACTTTCTTCAAGCAGTGGTAAAGGAAAAAGTCTGCATTTTTCAAGAAGACCATGATATTTGTGCAGGGCAATGCTCCATCACATGCATCAAAGTACTCCACTTCCTGGCTAGCCAGTAAAGGCCTTAAAGATGAAAGAATGACATGGCCCTTTTCCTCACCTGACCCAAACCCTATGGAGAACTTGGGCCCTTCTTAAAAGGGAGATTTACAGTGAAGGAAAACAGTACACCTCTCTGAACAGTGTCTGAGAGGCTGTGGTTGCTGCTGCACAAAAACTTGATAATCAGTAGATCTTGAAACTGACAGACTCCATGAATGTAAGGCTTATCACAGTTTTTAAAAAGGGTGGCTATATTGGTCATGTGTGTTTTTTGTTTGGGTTTTTTTTTTTTTTTTTTTTTGAATGTCAAATGTTTATTTGTAAATTTTGAGTTTATTATTTTAACTTTAACAAATGAAAATAAACAAGTGAGTTTTTCTTGTTTAGCTGCATAATTCTGCAAATGAATAGTTGCCCAATAATTGTGCGCACATAAATATTCTCCTAAGACAAAACCTCACTTCTTACTTAAATATTCAGGTTTAAGGTTTATTAACATTTTGGATTGACCAAGAGCACTGTACTTTAGTAACGAAATCCTTAAAAATACAACTTGCCTAATTGTGCACACAGTGTATATTTAGAGTTGTGTTCGCCCACAGTGAGCAGTTACACTAGCCAGAGGGAAAGGAGGGAAAAACTGAAAACCATGTTGAGCCTTTCCAGAAATCCCAAGTCTGTTACAACGATCATTATGCCCGGTTTTTTGTTTTTTTTTTTTTTTTTGGGTTTTTTTTTTTTCACCATACTGCCTACAACTGAATTTCTAGCTCCAAATAAGCTGAAGAGCCAGTTTGAGCCCTATCTGCAAGGGCAGAACCAGAACACTCGAGCACTATTGCCAGCACCCTGAAAAAGATCACAATCTAAGCCAGTGCTTCAGAAATGGCTAAATGCTTGCCAATGCTGCAGGGTTGTGATCTTCCTGAAGGTACTCCTGTAGTATGTTAGGATTACTTGAGACAAAAGGACAAAAATGCATTTGCGCAGGTTGTTTTGGAGGCTGTTGGCAAAGACCAATATAACTATCAAGTGACAGCTGTGATTACATCACTAAAGCAGTGAGTGATATCGGCAGCATCAAACCTGATGTCTCATCCTGCAAATATCAGGATATCAAGAGAATATTGAAGAAGCTTGCACAGTAGAAGTACAGGTGAGCAATATTTTAAATACAGATTCATATAAATATGTTGATTTGAAACATTATGCAATATTAATTGTTGCATCTTTCAACACCAATGGTGGTGGCTATTCCATGCAGGCTTTCTTCAATAAATCAAAAGAATCCTCAGGCTGAACGTCAACTATGAGATGATTAAATCACTTGAGTGTACAAAAGACTGTCAGAAACTTGAAAGAGGCAAATACATCTCCAGGTAAAGTTGTGCATATATTTTGTACATGAATTCTGCAATTTTTGTTTCCCCTTTTTAGCACTGCAAGTACAACATGGGCCGCACAGTGGCTAAATGGTTAACACTTCTGCCTGGCAGTACTAGGGTCGTTGGTTCGAATCCCAACCACTGCACCACCTGCCTGGTGTTTGCATGTTTCTCCCTGTGCCTGTGTGGGTTTCTTCTGGGTTCTCCGGTTTCCTCCAAAGACACGCTGGTAGTTTAATTGGTTCCTGTCTAAATTGGCCCTAGTATGGATATGTATGAATGTGAATTAGGGACCTTAGAGTGTACTGTAACTTTTTTCCTTTTTAGCACTTCAAGTACAACCCCAATTGTAGAAAAAAAAAGTTGAGCACCGTGTAAAATCTACATGAAAACAGAATGCAATGATTTGTAAATCTCATAAACCCATTTTATTCACAATTGGAAGTAGAAAACCTATCAAATGTGTATCATTTTAGGAAAATAAGGTAATTTTGAAATTGATTTTGGTAGCAAGTCTCAAAGTTGGGACAAGGCAACAAAGCTGTCAAAGTACAATCTTATTTCCAAAAAAGTTGGGACAAGGCCATGTTTACCACTGTGTAGCACTCCACCTTTTTAACACTCTCTAAAAGTCTGGAAACTGAGGAGACCAGTTGAAGTGTTTGGGGAGGAATGTTGTCCCCTTCTTGCCTTTTCTCTTCTGGTGCTCTAAAACCTGGTTATATCTTTCAGCATTGATGGTGCCTTTCTAGATGGGCAAGCTGCCCATTCCATACGCACTAATGCAACCCATACCATCAGATGCTGATAACTAGCCAGAAGGTCCCTCTCAACAGAGCCCAAAGTTGCCAGAAATGTCAAATTTCAATTCATCTGACCACAGAACAGTTTTCCACTTTTCAATAGACCATTTTAAATGAGCTTTGGTCCAGAAAAGATGGTGCTTCTGCATCATGTTCAGATATGGCTTCTTCTCTGCATGATAGAGCTTTACGTTGCATTTTTGAAAGGCAAGGTGAACTGTTCAGACAGTGATTTTTGGAAGCATTCCTGAGTCCTTGCAGTGATGTCCATCACAGAATCATACCAGTTTTTAATGGAGTGCTGCCTAAGGGCCCAAAGATTACGGGCTTCCAATATTGCATTTTGGCCCTGTCCTTGCACACAGAAATTTCTCCAGATTCTCAGAATCTTTAAATATATCATTATCTGCAATACATAATATCAAACGTTTTGCAGTTTTACCTGGAGCAGGATTCTGAAATGTTGACATTTTTGGACTCAGCATTTCCTCTGCCCATCTTTACTTCTGAGACACTCTGGCTCTCTAAGATGCTCTTGTTATACCTAATCATGTTACTGACATGTTGCCAGTGCCACTTGTTAACCCAATTAGTTGCAAAATGTTGTTCTAGCTTCTCCTTGTTAGTATCACTTATTTTTACCAGTTTTTTTTTTTTTTTTTTGCACTAGAAACAGTGACAGCAGAAAAAGGCCAAGTGGTCCATCGAGTCTGCCTGGTTTTTTGTTTTTTTATTCCATTAACCACTTGCCCTTCTGAGGATTTACCCCTCTTCCTGACAAGGCCATTTTTTGTGTTATGGCACTGCATTACTGTGACTGACAATTGAACGGTCATGCAACTCTGTACCCAAATGAAATTTACATCCCTTTTTTTTTTTTTCCCTACGAATTGAGCTTTCTTTTGGTGGTATTTGATCACCTGTAGTTTTTTTTTTATTTTTTGTGCTATAAAAAAAAAATGCCAACAATGTTGAGGAAAAAAACACTATATTTTAGATTTTTTGCTATTAATCACAGCTGATCACATGTAAACAGGGAAATGCCGGTTATCCGCATTTCTCTCCTCACGAGCTGTCACACTGACAGCTCATGAGGAGAGCCGGTAATCGGCATTCCTTGGAGGGGACATATACACTGATCATCAGAGCACTGATGATCAGTGTGCCCTGATCTGTGTAGCCCCAGCAGTGCCACCTGTCAGTGTCCATCAGTGCTCATCCATGCCACCTGCCCAGTGTGCTATCAGTGTGCCGCCCTATCAGTGCCCTATATGATTGCTGCTTTTCAGTGCCCATCAGTGATGCCTGTCAATGCCCATCAGTGCCACCTATCAGTGTCCATTGGTGCAGCCTATCAGTGCAGCCTCATTAGCACACATCAGTGAAGAAGAAAAATTACTTATTTACAAAATTTTATAACAAAAACTAAAACTTTTTTTTTTTTTTTTTTTCAAAATTTTTAGTGGTTTTTGGTTTAAGAAAAAATAGAAAACCCAGAGGTGATTAAATACCACCAAAAGAAAGCTCTATCTGTCACTAAAAAAAAACGATAAAAATTTCATATGGGCACAGTATTGCATGACCGCA